TCTCTCTCTCTCTCTCTTTCTGCTGGTCTCCTCTCATCCGTTCTATCTATCAACGTAACTTTACTTGTATACATATTTATTTATCCATTTATTTTTTTCTATTTTCCCTCTCCCATTTCGTTCTCTCACTTCGCTATTTGTCAATCGTTCTTTGTATGTTGTACTATAGGCTCGGGAAGCCAGGAGACGCGTGTTGCGTGCTACAATGCACGGCAAGTTTCTATCTTTCATTCTTTCCTTCTTTCCCCCCCCTCCCTTTTCTCTCTTTTTTTTTAACATTTTCACCTTGAACGAGGACCTCCCACATGTTCCCGTGATTTTCTCGATACCAGGTATCTGGGCCACGCCACGGGACATCTCACAGGATTTCAGAATCCGAGAGATTCATTTTCCACAAGGGCAGCAAGGTTCTCGTGGTTGGTGGTCAAAGTGAGTATCCCCCAGCGTACTAACTTTTAGAGATAGAACAATAGAATCGTTCAATAATCTGAGTCAGTTCGTTTCAATCATTCTGAAAGGCATCAGTTGATCATCGCATTAACAATCAAACTACGGATTTATAGCGATCTGTAAAAAGAACAATGTGACGAATATTTGACACTAGAACAACCAAGGTGATATATTAAATTTATCATTTCTGGTTAGATATTTTATAGACAGGCTAGAGTAAGCTTATTTTTAACGATTCAAATAATTTCGCAAATAAAATATACGACGAAATAAAAGCTTGCATACTCTATCGTGTTATAAAGTTTTTAATGTCTCTCTAATGGAAATTTTATGCTTTAATCGTCGATAATTCTTGTGTAAAATCATGTACAATTTTTTACACTTTAGATGATGATAATTTTATATATATAATACTGTTCGACATCGACAGTTACAAGTATTCGAAAATAGGTTGATTTGTCAGTCGCTGCTGTTCGTTAAATCTTTCGGAGGACCAAGGTTGCACGTTTCCGGTCCGCAGGAAAATGCTTCGAAAGGTCGCGCGTTCTAAAAAAAGGAACGACATAAACTCTCGAAATCTCTTAGGATCTCCTCGATCCATTACTCGGCTCGAGGCGTATTCGAAGAAGGACGGGCATGAAAAACGAGACGGTGACAAGAGATGGTGGAAAATCAATTGGTACCTGCTGGTTTCCCTTCAATGTCGCACGATTTCCGAGCGTCGCATTGCGCTTGTTTCGCAACATTATTCCCTTTGTAGGCCGAAGGGGCGGGCGGGGGGGGGGGAGGGAGAGGACTCTAAGCTGATCCGGCATGGCGTCCCCTTTCTAGCAGCCGTGCCTGCGTCCGCTCGCTCCGAGTCTTCTGAGCTATCTAAGCATCACGCTGAGCGGAGCGTGGTGCGCCATAAATCTTCGCCCTGTTTTTACGTGTTTGACCCCCGAGCGACTATACCATTATTAGAAGCAGCTTTCAACCTTATCCCACTAAGAATTTCACGAAACCGCACCATAACTAAGCCCCTATATCTCGCCTTGCTTCCTCCGTTTTCTGACGTTTATTGACCGGCTACGAGTTCCCTCCATCCCCCCTCCCCTCCCCTTTCCTTTCTTCTTTTTTTTTTCTTTTTTCTCTCTCAAAAACGCGTCGGATTTATCGCCTCGTGTCAGCAGCTCTGATGTCTCCTTGTGCACCGGCTACCATCTTACCCTATCAAGTTTCGTTCCTTTGAAATCCAAACCGTGTCGCGCGGAAATTACCAACCAAATTAGTAATGCCCCTCTTCCTTCAAGTATCTCTGGAATCTTTCAGTCGCGTTCTTTATCGCGAGACATCTTGTTCGTAAATAAGACGAAACGAATGAGAATTGACTATCTGACTCAGAATGACCTTGTTTCATTGTCCATTTTCACCGTCTTTTTCGCGAATTTTTTACAAAGTATTTTTATTAATGTATCGACATTGTAGTGAAAGAGATGGGCCAAGCTTGAAACAAATTTATAAACGCATGTTCAAGCAAAGGAAAAAAAAGACACAACACTCTTGAACTTCATTAGGATCATCTTTAACTTTTACTTGTGGTAAATATTCATTCGATTTACTAGCTTTTTAGTAAATTAAGTAAGCGTTTGCATAATTTTTTTACACACACGCAATTATGTGAAACTAACAATGGATAAATTATAAGTAATTCAATTTTCTTTTTTAAGTTGTTTAAATTTCATTATAGCATGCTCAGAGTGTAATTAAATTGGTCAACGTTATCAGTCTTCCATGCCATGAATTTGTAAGAATTACCATTCCACAGTCGTCCCGAGTATTTCGGTCGTAATTCAACCAGGGAACGAATTATTTCGAAAGAACGCGTCGGCCACAGTGTTTCTCAAATTTACATTCGCCAGCCATCTGCAGATTTACATTACAACACACACGTTTGGACGACGTCAAGTCAGCACGCGTCATTTCCTTAACTTTTCCCTCAATACCAATGGTATGTAACGCGAGATTCGCTTGAGCAAAGGTTATTTTAAGAAATGTCTGTTTCGAGAGATATATCTAATTGCCACTATATTTTATATTTGTTGATAATTATCATCTTAAAGGACATTTTTTTAAATAAAAGAAAAATACCTCGAAATTATTTCACTTTATTAGTTATTTATTACCAACTCGCTCTGGTTGCACGAAATTGGTCGTGACCTTCCTTACCGACTTTCGCGTGATCCGCGACGCGATTTGGGAAACGCTGCTGGCACACGGGGGAGGGAAGGATCCCGGCGGATAAAAGGCAAACGACGTGGACGAAGCGGGAAGGGTGACTATCGGCGGTGGGTGTTTCTCCCACCTACACCAAGCAGCCGGCACTTGGGTGTAAAATCCGAAGCCGACAAATCATAACCGGGGTCAAAAAACGAGCGACGTGAAAAATTGCCGGTTCACCCATAGAAAACTAATAACCGGGCCGCCACATCAAACGCGATTCTGGGAAATCATTACTCCGCTCGCTGTACAAGGGAGCACAGAGCCTCTCTACACGAGCGAGCAACGTGTTTAAACGTTTGCTGAAACGAGAAGTGTGAGCGAGGAAACGACGCGGGAGGCTTGCTAGCACGGGCTAGAACATCGCGGTGCCGCGCCGAGAGCCGATTTAGCCCTGTCTCTCGGCTTCGCCCCTCGCCACGAGTAACGTCCCGAGTAATATTACGATGACAGTAATTGCCGCTTTGATCAATGCAGACCCAGCCACGAGTAGGCAGCCCGTCACACGCCGCTGCGATTCCAATCCGACGCGAGCGATCCTTTTCCGGCCTATTCGATCGTTCCTCGAGGCGGATGTAGCGCGTCGTTGTTGCACAATCTCCAACTTCATTCTCTTA